CATGAACAGGAAATCTGGCAAGCGATAGCCTATTCGAACAGCTCAAAAGCTCCAGGTCCGGATGGCTTCACCATGGGCTTCTTCAAGAAATGCTGGCCGCTCTAAGGAGCCTGTTTGAGGTTTTTCCGGATTTTATTTGGGCAGGGATGGGAACATGGGGTTAATCATGCGTTATTACGCCCATTCCAAAGAAACTTATCGGATAGTGTGGGGGACTTTAGCCAATTAGTCTTGTGGTAGTCTTTACAAGTTCTCTCTAAAGTGCTATCTAAGAGACTTAGCTGCCGTGTGGTGATGTTATTAGTCAGTCTCAGTTCTTTTATACCGAGGAGACAGCTGGATTGTGCCTTCATTGCGAATGAGGGAATTGATTATTGGAGAAAACAAGGGTTGCGAGGAGTAGTGCTAAAAGTTGATTTCCGTAGAGCCTAGGATTCTGTGGAATGGCCTATTTTATTTAGAGCAATGACAGAGATGGGTTTTGGTAACAGATGGTCTGCTTGGATTTCACAATGTCTTTCAACAGCTTCGATTTCAATTCTTGTGAATGGGTCTCCTTCGGGAGTTCCCAATGGCAAAAGGTTACGACAAGGTTGTAGTCTCTCTCCATTATTGTTTAACATTGTGGGTGAGTTGCTTCTTTGATGCTTTCTAAAGCAGTGGACAAGGGACTATTCCAGGGTTTACATAGGCAAAAATGTAATACTACTAAGCTGTCTCATCTTCAGTTCGCTGACGACTTAATCATTTTTTGCCAAGCTTCGATTTCTCAGCTCAAGAACGTTAAACGAGGGTTGAGGATTTTTAGTATAATGGCAGGTCTGCATTTAAATTTGGTAAAGAGCAAGCTGTTTGGGATTAACATGGAGGACGATGAATTAAAAGATTGGGCATCACAAGTGGGTTGATCAGTAGGTTCCTTTCCAACAGAATATTTGGGCCTTCCATTGGGTGCCAAGAATTCAGAGGCTCTTTGGGATCCAGTTTTTAGGAACTTTAGTGCCAAACTGCTGGGTGGAAAGCCTCATGTTTGTCATTGGCCGGTAGGACTGTTTTACTGAAATCAGTGTTATTTCCTTACCAATTTTTTTCCTTTCTTGTTTAGAATGCCATGTAATATTGGTAAGAAGTTAACTCGTTAATGGCCAATTTCCTATGGGGTGATAAGGAGGGAAAGAGGAGAAATCCACTGGGTGAACTGGAGCTCGGTATGTAGACCAAATTGTGGTGGATTAGGTGTTCTTGATTTGAATCTCACTAATCGGGCTCTACTAGGCAAGTGGGTGTGGAAATTTGCCAATGACAAAAATTCCATTTGGAAAGGCGTGCTGTGTAGCAGACATAAGGTCGGTAGCAATTCTTTGTCTATTAGGGAGGTCTCTCATCCTCATTCATCTTGGATTTTGAGAGGAATAGCTAATAATTATCTGAAGGATGATTTGGTGGGAGATTGTCTAAGGTCAAATTCGAAATTGAAAGTAGGAAATGGCAAGTCTATTCTTTTTGGAATGACGTTTGGGCGGATGACTGTCCTCTGAAATTCTTTCCAAGAATTTTTGTGCTCTCTCCTATAAAGAGGGGAAGTTGAGGATTTGGCAGCTTCGAATCGAGTGGTGGGTGTGGACTGTCCAGACCAGGAGAAATTTGTGTGATGGGAATTGGTCCAATGTTGGAGTTGATGTCTAAGTTGAAGGATATTCAACTTTCAGAACTGGTGGATGATTTTTTATCGTGGACTGCTAGTGGAGATTGGATTGTTCTCAATTAAATCTTGTAGGAATACTCTTGGTATTATGTCTGGGGGTAACTGCAGTGTGGACGAAAGGGGTTTGGCAGGGCTTGCACCACCTCGGGGGAAGCTTTCCTTTGGCAACTTGCTCATCAGAAAGTAGCTGTCAAAGTCGAGTTGGTCAAGAGAGGTCTACCCTAGGGGATGATTCTGTGTCCCTATTGTAAGAAACAGGAGGAACTGGCAGCATCTATTCATCTCTTGTATTGTGGTTTGGGAATTATGGAATAAGGTAGCTATTTCTGGATATTGCCATGGTTCTACCACAGGATCCTCCTTCTCTTCTTTGTTCCTGGGGGGAGTTGAGGGCGAATATACGATTTGGAAGTTTATTCCGAGAGCCATCTTTTGGTCTGTATGGAAATTTAGGAACGCAAGGTTTTCGAAGGAACTCCTATTGACAAAGTGTCCTGTTCTCATTTTAGATTCAGATTGCTAAATGGTTCCTAGCCAAATTTCCGGGTATTACTATACAAGAGGATCTGCTGATTGGTAATCCATCTCTAGCAGATGGTTTCTTCTAGTAATGTTATTGAGCGTGTGTTTTGCGCTGGTTACCCCCAGTAGACTCCTAAAGATGAATGTAGATGGAGCCGTTAGGCAGATTGATTCGGGTGGAGGTATTGGAGGTTTATTAAGAGATTGGAATGGTTGCACTCTTTTGACTTTCTCAGAGTATTGGTCAAGCAATCCCCCCTCTGGCTGAATTAAAAGCTATAAAAAGAGGCTTGGATATTTTCTGTCTTCTAGGTGGGCTTCATTGCTAGGTTGATCGTCGAAAGTGATTGCTCGTCTGCAGTGGAATGGATTCATTCTCCGGTTCTGGAACCTATTTTTTTCTTGCCTATTGTTTTTCAGATTTCAAGGCTTATTAGTGATAAGGTTCATTCAGTTAGATTGATTCCTAGGGAGTGTAATGGAGAGGCAGATATCTTAGCAAAGGAAGGGATTGGGTGATTTTAAGGGTCTTTTTATGATTTTCTTCACTTTGTGTGTAGGTTTTTTTGATGGGAGGAGTGTTTCAGTCTTATGTCAAGCAATTTTGTGTTATTTTTAACTATTATGTAACTTTCAATATTTATAATAGTTCCAAGCCACTCTTTCCCTCCTTCCTATGATTAATGACCTTTCTATAAGGTCCTTAGTTAAGAAGGGGGGTTTTAACGAGGTCTTTCTTTCCTATCAAAAAAAAAAGGAAGATTGTTGGTTGTTTTAGTGTGTGATTGTGTTGATTCTAGAAACAATATGTAGTGAATAGTTTCAGGGGACTAGAATATGATTTTGGATAATGGAGTTGGAGGTTCGGTTGGTATTTGATGATGACAAGACGAGCATTAAGGGGCAGAAAAGTGAATAGAGTGTTTCGAAGTTTGCTTTTTTGTGCTCTTATCTTGTGGAAGCTCATGGCTTTTGTGTTTGAATTTGGCTTCTATGGATTGAGTCAGTTGTTATTTTTGGCTTCTGTTATAGTTGTATTGTTCTGTGTTGTATTTCGGGCCAAGTTCTGGCTTTATGTCAGGTTAGTCTTTTAGAGATGTTGTAGCTAAGATGGTTTAGGATGAGTTAGTGTTGTTGTGGAGGGGTGTTTTCGGTTGTTTTTGGTTTTCTGTCTAGTTGGAGGTAACTCTCTGGTTGTATCTTATGTTATTTCTTATGTTTAATGAAATCTTAAGGCACTATTTTCTTCATTCCGCTGATTAAGGAGCTTCTCTACAAGCTCCTTTAATCAAGAAGGGGGTTTTTAACGAGGCCTTCAATTCCTATATAAAAAAATATAGGTAGGTACTTTAATGGAAAATGAAATGAAAAAAGTTAAGAACAATGCAAGAATATTCACTCACTAATCAACGAGTAAACCTGAACCTATGCATTTGTTCCAACGGCAGACAGGTTGTGTGGCTTCGTTACTATATGGGATAATTGGGGAGTCTTCTTATCGGCCAGAAATAGGAGCAAGTGGAGTGGCTGTGTTAGTAAATTGATTGGAGATGCTGAATTTATGTCCTTCACTGTAATCTACCATTTGCTCGATCTTTCAATGGTGGGCAAGAAATTCACTCGGTTTGGTCTAAATAACAAGTATATTAGAAGCATTGAGGTTTTATTTCTTTGGTTTTGGCAGGAAGCATTAAATATATTAGAAGTTCAAAATGATAGCTGCATCTTTGATGAATAATTCTTTAACCATAGTTATTTGTCTCTTTGGTTGAGGTTGAGTGGTTTCATATATGTCGTACTCGCATGAATCCTAAAGATATTTCAAATTGTTAATGCTGTAGATGGTTTGATTCTTTTTCGCTGTGTGGTATGTATTTAGGGATTAAAAGTTTAATCAACACTTAGGTGAAGGACAAAGGAGCTATTTGGCGATCTTGTGAATTCAATATAATTTTGATGGGTCTGACTCTTTGTGGATGAATTAATGGGCATATTGAATATTTGAAGCTTGATGGATAAAAAGTTTGGATGTCTGCTGCAGCAAGATGTTTGAATCTTGCAATGTGGGAGTGGAATGAATGAATAAGGGATGGGTTTGGAAAGAGTCTTATTTTAATATTTGGTAGGGTCTTGGTGGAGTTCAAAGTTGGTTGCTGCTAACCTTATCTTTCTATTATCTCGTGGTATTATATGAGGCTCTATCACTTAAATGGAACAACTGATTTTCATGTCGGCCGAAAATTGTTTTGGAGACAATTTAACTTGTCTGCTGAAATGTTGATGTTTATTGATTCTTGATACATTCGAATGGTGATATGCTTCATGTGCAAGATAGATGTCCTTTAGCTATGTGGCCGGTAGTCCTTCGGACAAAATAGAGGTAGTCATTGTAATGCTTGGTTGAATGTGCTTATGTTTGATCTCTCTTGGGTCGTTGTTCCTTGAGTGAATCATTCGTTGTTGAGGCCATGGTGTAGGTGGATTACCTTTGACGAAATAGATGTCATGATTCGATCAATTGCACTGGTGAATTTTGTCTCTGTATCGAGAAGTCAAAATGGAATGACTGACATTTAGCTAGAGAAAGGATGCCTAGGCGTGAGTTAATTAAAGCATGGTGGTAATTGGTTTACTTTAGTGTAGGTTGGGTGTGACTTTGCTCTACGTTGAATTTCTTGCTATATGTATGAGAAGTAGATCTTTGAGATGTAGCTTTTACCTGTTGAATTTCTTGTTATCATGGTGGGTAATCTCATTTGCACCTTTTATGCAGGTTGTTGCAATCAGGGATATAATTCCACCACCCCAAAGGGGATGTTTTAATGATGTTTATATTGCATATGAGCTGATGGACACTGACCTGCATCAGATAATCCGTTCTAATCAAGCTTTATCAGAAGAGCACTGTCAGGTTGGAATTTAGAGATTTGGTTTTTTTAATGATAAGGAGTCATCATATTCCTCAAATTACGAGTTAAAATTTTTATGGTACAGGCGTACAGCTATTTCAGTTGACTGCTAATTTAGATCCCTAATTTTGATTGCATCAAGCTCTGCTGTTAGTCAGTACAGTTCTTCCTAATCACTTTATCTTCATATCTAACCTAACTGGAAAGTTCAACTGCTATAAATGCAAACATTGGCCGTCTGTTGCACTTGAAGAATAATGCATAGAGAAATTTCTTTGGCTTTTAGAGTACTAGTTAATGTGGGATAGTGTGCAAGATAGGGTTCGAAAGAAAATATCTGTGCTTATTTGGGAGGGAGTAAATATTGGCAAATAAGGTTTCTTATAGTACACAATAATGGATCAAGAAGTTCAATTTTTTGTTCAGCTGTGCATTCTGCTCTTGAACAGTGAACTTGATTTAAAGGTTACTTTATGCTTGGATAGATGGTTTTGCAGGGTTCAACTTCAAAAGAAAAGCTTCTGGGTTTATTTTTGGCATAATTATAAAATGAGCCCCAACGTTTGTACAAATGATCACTTTGCCCCTTACTATTTTTTGGAGCATTTTAACCCCCAACATTTTTTTGGGTCAAAATAGCCCTTGTTGGATGGAAAGACTAATTGGCAACATAAGTTATTGATGTGGCATTTTCACATGTGTTTAATTGGTGACGTGGCACATTACATGTCATTCCTTTGGGTGATGTGACATATGCCACATCATCATTTTGGGTGATATGGCACATGCCATGTCATCAATTAAGCACATGTGAAAATGTCATGTCAGCAACATATATTGACCATTAGTCAACTAACTGTTTCCATCCAATATGGGTTATTTTGACAAAAATTGAAACGTTGAGGGCTAAAATGCTCCAAAAAAAAAAAGAGTAGGGAGCAAAGTGATCATTTGACAAATGTTGGGGAGGTTAATTTTGTCTTTATTTTATATCTGAATGTTTGCCTGAATTAAAATAATGAGCGAAAAGGAATTCTTAACAGTATTCTCCACTTGGTTTCTTTAGGTTTCAAGTGGTGAGGCCCCAAAGGCTTCATGACTAGGATAGTTCATACAATTCCAAATAAAAGAACAGTGCAAAAATAAACTTAAACCGGCCCTTTCATAAATGAAGATTCTATTTATTCATAGATAGGAAATTGTCAAAGTAGAACCAAATGGTAATCGATTAAAACAAACAAATGAGTAATAGAAACACATTTCTAATATTCCTAATCTCATTTCTTTCCAAAAATGATGTTTGCTTTCGTTTCCAAATGTTTTTTAGTTTTTTGCTTTTGTGCCTGCGGAAGAAAAAAAACCAAATAATCAAAACAACTGAGTGAAAAGTACCCAAAGTTAATTGTATTGCGGATACATCAAAGGTTACTATTTGAGCCTTAACATCAAATTAATCACCTATCTCTGTGCTTTGCAGTATTTCCTCTATCAAATCTTACGTGGGCTGAAGTATATACACTCTGCAAATGTTCTACACAGGGACTTAAAACCTAGCAACCTTCTACTGAATGCTAATTGCGACTTGAAAATATGTGATTTCGGACTGGCTCGTGTCACCTCTGAAAGTGACTTTATGACTGAATACGTTGTTACAAGATGGTACCGTCCACCAGAACTGTTGCTAAACTCTTCGGATTATACTGCAGCCATTGATGTATGGTCTGTGGGTTGCATTTTTATGGAATTGATGGATCGGAAGCCATTATTTCCTGGAAGAGATCATGTGCATCAGCTGCGATTGCTTTTGGAGGTTAGTTCTTTCCCATCCAGTATAAAATCATCTAAAGTTAAACAAATAAGTTGCTGAATAGGGTGCCATGAGCATTTTAAGGACAAAAGTAAACTCAAAAATGGTTGTAGAATTTCACCATAAGAAGCGAATTCTTTGCCTTGCAGCTGATTGGCACCCCATCAGAATCTGAATTGGAGTTTTTGAATGAAAATGCTAAGAGATACATTCGGCAACTTGCTCATTATCGTCGACAATCTTTCACTGAAAAGTTTCCGAATGTCCACCCTTTAGCTATTGATCTTGTTGAAAAGATGTTGACATTTGATCCTAGACAAAGGATTACTGGTGAGTTTGTTGCAAAAGAATGCATGTTTATCGCTCTCTTACTTATTATCCATATGCATGTTGCCATGCGACACATTGCGTGTATTCCGTGTCTATTACTAACTCTTTCCCAATTTAGTCACTCAAGTTTGCAAACGCACACTAAATTGTCACAATTAGTTCAGTTGTTGTTGGCTTTTCTGGCTACTGCTGTGTTGCAATGTCTTTGTCCCAAGTCGGAACTAATGTAATTCTACTTCCTATTCGTTTCAGTGGAGGATGCACTTGCTCATCCCTATCTAACGTCACTGCACGACATAAGTGATGAACCTGTATGCATGACCCCCTTTAACTTCGACTTTGAGCAGCATGCATTAACCGAGGAGCAGATGAAAGAGCTGATATATCGGGAAGCACTTGCATTCAACCCGGAATATCTGCAGCAGTGACGAATCCATACCCCATTGATTTCTTGGTGAGCTTTGATCAGTGTTGGTTGATTTCTTCCTGTATATATATGTAATATTATGTTATTCCCAGAGCTGGATGGCTCTCGGAAATGAGATATTTAATTATGGGGAAAAGCATGAAGGCAAAACAGTTGTATCGGTGTTTGTATGCACCGACTATCTGGGTTTCTTTTCTTTTGTTGTTTGCATCGACATGACTTTGGTTTTCTCGTATATTTGCTTCTTAAATAATCGAGCTTAGCTTGTCTAGGGCATTCATAGTTGATTTTGGTTACTTATATTTATTTATAAGCAAAAAAATATGAATCCTTATGATCAAGATTTATGAATTGAACTCAAATAAAATGGGTTGAGCTGAGTTAGATAGATGCATGAACAATTTTGTTTATAAATTGTTTATAGCTCATTTAAGCTGTGTTTGGTCTCTACCGGGTTAGATCTGGTTGGTATAATGATTTCTGCTTAAATTACGGATATTACTCATAATCTAATCTATTCATTTAAACAAAAATATTATGTTTCATAACACAATGAAAATATTATGTTGGAATGTTTGTGGTTTGAGGAAGTCACGTCTCAAGAATAGGTCGATAGACATAAAACCCCAAATCTTTTTTCTTACAAAAGAAATCAGTACGAGGACAGAAAGACTCAAAAATTATGGTTTATGGATTTGGTGGTCTTTTGATAAGCTGGAGGCATGATTATTTAATTTCTTTGAGAGTTTCTATGATACGGGCCACCCAAAGTTCATATTCAATATTATTGATGTGATAAGCTGACCTTTTCACAAGATTTAATAAATCGAACAAAGTTTAAGCAACTCAAATCTAGATAGCTTACTTGGAGGATCAAAACTCTCAAGAAATCCAGTCATGGTCAAAATTCAAAGACTCAAGATACCAATCCATTCAAGAGCCCATGTTGTGTAGACAAATCTATTTGGGTCATTGCAAGTCCAAAAGGTCTACAAGCGGATGAAAACAGAGGGTTTTTAAGCCCAATAGGCCAAACAGAAAAAAATGGGATGTAGGGTTGTTAGAAAATTATTTTGGGATCTCCGGCATTCTCTATAGTACATGGAACTCGGTGACAAGTTCCAAAGGATATTGTTATTATATTATGCGTTTATTATTCAATTAATTTCTATGGAACTTGTTATCTCGAGATGACGAGTTCTATTAAAATAATGTTAATTTTTTTTACAGTTATCTACTTTAAATTGAAAAATGAAAAAAAAATCTTTGGAACTCGTCACCTCGAGGTGACGAGTTCTTCTGGTTTAAATATATAACCGTTTAGAATTAATTTAAAAGTATGTTTTATAGCAGTTGGAACTCGTCACGCCCACATGATGAGTTCCAACGGACATTTTGAAAAAAATAATTACTATAAATAGGAGTTGGGTAAGTTAATAGAGTTATATGAGAAACAACTGGTGGCCAATATTCATCGTTTGGGAGATACTTAAAGTCACAACTGTATATGTTGCACATAGTATGCAAGTTATAACAATCATCAGTGTATAAGTATGGGTCTACATTCACATGCATACATGTAGCAACCGCGTAAGCGTATAGGTATCTGAAGGCTTGAAATCAACCACAATCACACTATCTTCTATTGAGATTACCGATGTAGGTGACAGAATTCCCACCCTCGTGGTCAAACAAGTTCTTGGACAACATAGTCAGAATCGAGTGTGGCAAAATTTTGAACATACATTGATGTTGCATGTGTTTGATTTTTGTTCATTGCTTTCTCCATATATGGAGCCCAATTTCTACATTCGTTGATCATTGCCTCCACTTGGCACCTTTGTCTGTCCATACTTTACCCAATGTAAAGTAAGTCTCTCGAATAATACTTGCTACCGGAAGATGCTAGTCTCTTTAAGCATTGAATTGATACGACAAGATTGGTTGTCATATGATCGTAACGTCAACCCTGATTGTCATATGTATGTGACCATCTTTCTAGAGGTATTTCAGCTGCAAACTTTTAAATCTCTTCTTCATATTTCCTCAGATTTTTTAGCCTTGCACGGAAGTTCGGTTGTAGTAAAACATATCCTAAAAAAGTTAGATTTAAGTACAATAATAAATGAAGAACATAAATAAAGGAAAATAAAAGAATAAGTTACCCATGTTGATAATCTCTTTCTTGATATTCTTATTCTTAAACTTCGTCATAGCATTGGATGCAATATGACGTATGCAATATGCTAGAAATGGACCATGGCAAAATAATACGCCATTTGAAGCAAAAGTAGTGATATATTCCTTCATATCAGAAAAATGTGCATTTCTGATAGGCAAAATAATGCACCATGGCATAAACTTTTCAATGTTCAATTAATTATCTTCAACAACTTTTTAGTGATATATCAACTCATTTCAACAAACTTTTCAGTGGTGATATATCACTTCATATCAGAAAAATGTGAAATTCTCATAGGCAAAATAATGCACCATGGCAGAAACTTTTAGTTCACAAACTTCTCATAAACCTACTAATATATGTGAGGTGAAAGCTAAATTACTCACTGGAAGCAAAAATTTATGATTATGACAACTATTCATGTAATAGTTTTTTATGATTGCAAATTTTTAACCATGTTTTCAAAAAATATTCAACTAGACGAGTTGAAGTTCAATATAGAAACAAGGATTAAATTCAAAAGTAGTAGAAGAATATCTTTGTTATATTATAAATTTCTAATATCATGCACGAGGTTTCATCTAAGCGATGATGCCGACCTTTCTAGTATGGTTGAGACATACTTTTATCATTCTTTGTCCAATGTCGATTTCTTTGTAGAGTTCACTGATCTCGACCTTCCTCGTATGATTGAGGATGTTGCTTTCAGGTCGAATATCCCACCAACTCAAACAAATGATAAAGAAACAAACATAGATGATGGAGACCCAAAAGCATGGTTCCAATTTGTACATGAACGACAACAAGAAAAAGCATGGAGAATTGAAGAACTTAATATTACATCCTTAACATAATATATTAAGTTTGTTGTTTTTCCTTCTTAATGTCATGTTCACAGTTCGTTGTTTTTTAAACAAAATGTATTACAATTTACATAACTTTTAAGTCATATATTTGCATAACCGTTTAAACTCCTCGCATTAACAAGATAAAAACAACAAGTGCATTTTAGGCTACATCAACTCATCACCTCGAGGTGACAAGTTTCAAAGATTTTTTTTCCCATTTTTCTATTTAAAGTAAATAAATGTAAATAAATAATATTATTTTAATAGAACTCATCACCTTGAGGTCACGAGTTCCTTAGAAATTAATTTAATAATAAACACAAAATATAATAACAATATCCTTCGGAACTCATCACCTCGATGTGATGAATTCCCCGTGTACTATAGAAAATTTCGTAGATCCCAAAATAATTTTCTGAAAAACCCTATATTCCAAATTTTTTCCTGGTTAGTTTATTGGGCCAAAAAAACTGAAAACAAATCTCATATCCAATCTGTGAAGAGTAGCCCAACCCATAGCTATGAAGTAAATTAAAATACACATGAAAGGACTAGTTTGACTATTGAGGAAAGTTAAGGGTAAATTATAGTTAAAATTGTATTTGAAGTGTTTCAATAATTTTCTATTATTCGAGCTTCAATTTTATACAATTAAAATATGAAAGTTAGAGTTAAAGTATTAAAAGAAAGAAAATAAAATTATAGTGAAATTATGGTATTTAAGATTAATTTAAAGTATATGAAGTTTATATATTCCAATTTACTTTTATTGAATTTTTAGAGATTTTTATTTGATTAATGCACACTATTAGCATTAAATTCTAACATATATTTTAGAGTTTATGTTTTTGCAGTTGATGTGCTTGAAGCATCCGAGTTTAATCACAGCGAGGTGAAAAAAAGATGTTATTTGTTAATTATATATTATAAGAAAGACTTGTGATAAACCAACCTTAATTTATATGATATGATATTTTTTTGTTGATTTACTTAGTAATATATTTCTAATATGATTAAAAATAAGTGGATATGATATGCTGGTGATATTTATGTTTTTTTTTTATAGAATAAGGCCTCATTAAAACCCCCCTTCTTATCCTCCATGTTACAAACATAACATGAAGGACATTGGAAGGAGGGAAAGAGTGCCTCTAACTTTTATTAATAGGAACAATAATACACCTCCACATCTCAACAACAACAACTTCTTACACAACAAAACAACCATAATTCTGAAAGCATAAAACACCCTAATACACTTTTAATATTAACAACCAAGACAACACCTAAACAGTTACACAACTAAAATCAGCCTATGCCAGCTTTAGCTAATTCATCAGCTTCCCAATTAGCTGCTCTCGAGATGTGCCTTGTGATAATACCCTTCCTCTCCACAGCAGAAGCTATATCTGTTACCAAGGATTGGAACAAAGTAGAACTAAGGATCGGATTATTAATCCACTTCAGAGCATTAGAAGAGTCTGATTCCAAAATAATCCTCTGTTTTGAAAAGAAATCAGTTTCAACTTCCTCAATAAGAATCAACCCTCTATTAATAGCCAAAAGCTCCGCGAGTAAAGGAGGACCTCCCCCAACCTTCTCTGAAAATGACCCAAGCACCAACCCGCTGCAATCCCTAATCAAGCCGCCTATACCACCCTTATCCCAATCTTTAACCATTGCACCATCAACGTTTACTTTTAAAAACCCTTCCGGAGGAGGACTCCACCTGGAAGAAGGAAGATTCTTCTTATGGTGATATTCATGTTGTGTTCTGTTCGAATTATGTTATTTAGAGTATGAACTATCCATTATCATATGAGTATGAAATGTTCTATATTATCATCATCATCATCGTTATTATTATTATTATTATTATTATTTGAAATAACATCTAACATCTATTGAAAATCTCAAGTATATTCATATAGAGTCTTGATATAGTTGACATGCCTTAAAGTCTAACATCTACCTAATGATAAGTATTTCGGTAGCCCAGTGATTGATACTTCAGTCTCCTAGTGTTTGATACTTCGGTGGATAGTGATTGTTACTTTAGTATATTATCGTGACTTACATACCTTGCAATCTCATTTAATACTTTGGGTTATGTGACAAAATAGACAAAAATTGTAGGTGGAAAAGATTAACCTTGTAAGCTTAATATATACATGTTTGTGAGGATATGTGGTTTATGCAGGAACATTTCTATCCTGAGCAAATGATTACATGATTATTATTGAATTGAATAAATTGATATGTATCGTATTTATGCTTTTATTTATTGATGATATGAAATGTATATTAATGATTATTTGTATTGTTTATTATTTTAATGTCTCATTAAGTTTATACTTAGCGTGTAATTATTTTATGCGTAAATTTATCGTATTGTTCTAGAATGGAGGAGCTGAGCATCATTTCTTGTTGGAGGAAGTTTTTCAAGTTAACACAATAATTACATCTTACTTGATGTATTTTGATATTTTAGTTGGCATGCATATGTTTTTTAGTAGTTTGTTTATTTTGTATAAACTCAGTTACCTTTTAGAAGTTAGGATAATTAGTTGATGTTTTGAAAATGGATTGAGGTTGTTTGAATGAATAGGTTGCCTATTTGGTATAAAAATCCATGAACATAATTTATTTTGATTTATCATAATCATTAAAGTTTCAGGTGAGACTCAAATGAGACGATTAAATGAAATTGATAAATATTCATGCATGTTTGGTAAATATTCATTTAGGTTTTATAACGAAATAAATGAATTTTAAAATAAAAGTGGTCAGATTATTTTAATCAATACTTGGTAAGTTTATTTTAACTAAATTAGTAAAAGAGAGAAATTTTATCAAAATAGTTTTGATAGCATATGTAACCCTCTAGATCTAGCCTGAATGTTACGAATGAATCTTGGAGACCACAACAATTCTTCGATTGAACAGAAATCAAGAAAACTCATATTTTAACATGCATCTTCAACAAATTATAAAAAAAATACTTAAGCAGAAGTAAGAGTTCATAATATATAAATACTATGAGTTTAAAATCCAAAACAAATAAAGTAGTTTAATATCCCAAATTCCTATAAATAAGTATATATGTTTTACTTGCAATCGAACTGAGCAGAACGAGACTGATCAGGGTCTACAAGAGAATGGTTCAGATATACGAGAGTATCTTTAGAAAATAATACCAAAATATGAGTCTAAAATCTCACAATTCAGTAAACATACTATGAATGTAACTAAAAAATAATGTAAAATAGGGCTTTCGGGGCAGAATTTGGCAAAATGGATTGTGGTAACGAACTTAGGACATCTAAAAACATAGAGATTGTGGTCTTCAGAAAAATTCAATGGGTCAAGTCAACAATCAAAGTCAATAGTCAATGATCAACAGTCAACGATCAACAGGTCAGGTCGATTAACAGGTCTAGTCGGTTAATGGGTCAACTGGTCCAATCATTTCGGTCTAAAAGTAACCGATTCATCCAATTTTGGACTGCCAAAAGACTCCAACACGCGTACGGTGACGCGTGGGATGTTCGCCTAGTGGTGTTTTTTTACACAAAAATTCCAAAAAAATATTTTAATAAATGAGAATAATTTACTAAGGTCGGTTTGCAACGGGGAGTGACATAATTGAAATTTCTTGAAAACCCAAAACTAAACTCCCTCAACCGATGCTAACGACAATAACAAACGACAAACTGAGGGTGCTGAGCGAACAACGATGACAAGTTAGACACAATGACACTGACAATGAGAAATACAGTGACCAGAACAGAGGTAGAATGATAAAAAGCAGAAGAATGGTTGGTACAAAATAACAAATAAAGAGAGAGAAAAAACTTGGGGAGATTCATGGTTGAAGGGAAAAAGAAAAGAAAGGACGAGTGAGTATTTCAAATACCTAAAATTTGGGTAAATTACACACTAGACCACCACACTTTTGAGAACTCATAAACTGGTACTAGAATTTCAAAATATTTTAAATAAATCCCCAAAAATTGGAATGTGACAACTATCCCCCTTAAGAAAATTTCAACCTTAAAATTTTATCTGACAGAAAAAGACAATGAAATTGCTCCTCTATCGACCTTCGAGTCTCCCAAGTGGCCTAAAAGACTGCGATTACTCCATAAAATCTTAACCATCGGTATACGTCAGCTTCTCAAAACACAATCCTCAAAGGTAATGATCTGAATAGGCTCCACCTCATAACTCAAATCAGGTCTCCCTTCAATATCCTCAACAGAAATGATATGTGATGGGTCAAAACGGCAACGCCTCAACATAGAGACATGGAAGACATCATGTATGGGCTCAAGCTCAGGCAATAACTCAAACTAATAAGCAACGAGACCAACTCGACTCAATATCTAATAAGGTCTAATAAACACCAGACTCAATTTTCCTTTACAACTGAGAACTTTATTCTATGGAGATACTTTTAGAAAGACTCGGTCACCCACACTAAACTCAATATCTCGCCTCTTCAAATCAACATAAGACTTTTTCTTATCAAAAGAAGCCTTATGCTTGTCTCAAATCAATATTATTATACCCTTAGCCTCTTGAATAAGATCTGGTCCTACAACACTCCTCTCAGATAATTCAGTCCAGCATAACGGGTTACGATACCTAAAGCGATACAAAGCCTCATAAGGTTCCATATGAACATTGGCTTGATAACTGTTGTTGTAGGAAAACTCAGCTAGAGGCAAGTGAACCTCCCAACTGCCCTGGAAATCTATAACACATCCTATCAGCATATCCTCCAGAATCTGAATGACCCGTTTAGAGCTACCATCATACTATAATTGATAAGTTGTACTGAAATTCAATCGGGTACCCAAAGCCTAATGAAGAGCCTTCTATAATCATGACGTAAACCTTGGATATTAATCGAAAATAATAAACAAGGGAACCCCATGAAGATGAAAAATCACAGAAATATACAATCGAGTCAATATGTCTAGAGTATAATTAGTCAAAAATTGTAATAAAATTAGCAGATTTAGTGAGACGATCAATGATAACCTATACTGAATCCTTCTTGGATTGTGTCAACGACAATCCACCAAAAACAATCCATAGTTACCCACTCCCATTTCCACTCGACAATCTGAATGGGTTGAAGTAAACCAGACAGAAACTAATGCTCAGTTTTTACTTATTGATAGGTCAAACATTTAGCAACATACTCAGTGACATCACTTTTCAAACCAGTTCAATAGTAACATTCTCTGAGATTTCGATACATCTTAACACCACCCAGATGCATATAATAAGGACTATTTGAGCCTTCTGCAAAATAGAATTTTGTAACTCAGGATCATTTGAGACACAATAACATCCTTTGAAACGTAATACATCATCCTCGTTGAAGGTGTAATCAAAATCAAAACCCTGCTCATATCATTTAACAAACAAGAATAAGGATGCTTCGAGGGATTATTTTGAATTAATCTCAGACACCAAGGTAGGCTTAACCCAGAGTTCAGCTAACAAAGTACCATCATCATATAAACTTAGGCTGGCAAACATCACCCTCAAATAAGTAATCACTCTACGACTCAAAGCATCAACAACTATATTAACTTTCTCAGGATGATACTCAATCTTGAAATCATAAACCTTCAGAAACTTTAACCAGTGACGTTATCTCAAATTAAGATCCTTTTGAGTCAACATATACTTTAGACTTTTATTATCGATATAGTTAAAACACCTCTCCCCATAAAGATAGTGCCTTTAAATTTTTAGCGTAAAAACCACTACAACTAACTTAAGATCATGAGTAGGGTAGTTATACTCATGCAACTTCAACTGATGAGATGCATAAGCTACTACTTTACCATCTTGCATCAGAACAGAATCCAAACCAGTATTTGAAGCATCATTGTATACTGAATAATCATTTCTAGACTCGGGTTGGATCAAAATCGGTGCTTGAGTTAGAATAGATTTCAACTGCTCGAAACTCAACTCTTGAGCTTCACCCCAAACAAAAGGCACATTCTTCCTCAGAAGTTTTGTCAAATGAGCTGGAATCATAGAAAACCCCTAAAATATCTCAGGTGGTAACCTATCAAACCCAAAAAACTATGAACATAAACCATATTCTTAGGTTGTTTATAGTCCATAATAGCCTCAATCTTTTTCAGATCAACGGAAATACCCTTAGTAGAAATAATGTTATCCAAGAACATTACCTCTATTGAACTTCGCATAGAGTTATTTTTCCTTCAAGGTCTACAAAAAAACTCTCAAATGCTCATTGTGCTCAGACTCAAACTTCGAATAAATAATGATATTATCGATAAAAACAATGATAATCTGGTCTAGATACGGTTGGAATACCCATTTCATCATATCCCTAAAAGCAACAGGGGCATTAGTCAAACCGAATTGCATCACTAAAAACTTATATTAGCCATAATGACTCTAGAAAGTTGTTTTAAGAACATTAGAATCTTTTACTTTAAGCTGATAATAGCCAGACCGAAGATCAATCTTGGAGAAAATAATTGCACCACGACATTGACCAAACAAATAATCAATACATGGTAACCGATATTTATTCTTAATCGTCAGCATATTCAACTTTTGATAATTGATGCACAAAGGTAATGTACCATCATTATTTTTAACAAAGAGCACGGGAGCTCTCTATGGAGAGGTACTAGGCTGAACAAACCCTTAATCCAACAACTCCTATAATTAAACCTTGAGGTCCCTTAATTCCTTAGGTGTCATACGATAAGGAGCCATGGACACTGGTGCAGTACCTGGATATAATTTATTTTTGAAATCTACCTCTCTATCATGCGATACACTTGGTAACTCTTCCAGAAAGTCCCTCACAATATGGATTTATTTTCAAAAGTAAACTTTCTCAAATCTAGAATATATGCAAGGTATGCTATGACACCCTTCTGAATCATTTTCTCAGCTGCCAAGGTTGATATAACATTGGAAAGATAACCCCGATACTCACTGATCAAAACAATTTCCTTATCATCCAAAGTCTTCAAAATTTCTATCTTGCATTCATAATTCGGATTAACTCGATGTTCCTTTAACCAATAAGTACCCAAAACAAAATTGAACTTATCCAA